GATGGTGGTGATTTTGGGGGGAAAGGAGGGGTGGTTGGCGGAGAAGAGTCCGCTCTGCGCCGCGTGTGTTTGTGTGTGTGTGTGTGTGTGTGTGTGTGTGTGTGTGTGTGTGTGTGTGTGTGAGTGTGTGTGTATGTGAGCAAAGTGTGTATGTGGGGGGGAGGGGGGGGGCGAGAGGGGGGAGAGAAGGAGCTTTATTCTTAGCTTCATAGCAAAAAAACAGCATTCAGTAAGGCGTCAATCAGATACAAAACCAGCCGCCACCTTTCAGTTTTAGTAAAAGCTTTACGGTACTTACAACACAAATAAAGGACAAATAAAAACACGTCAATGCCAAAGATTAGAGGTGTTATTTTGAGAGTAGCATACAAAAAAGGAAGACAGATAAGGATGATCATAGACGTTTGATATGAGAAAAAAAAGGAGAAAATCATACAAGAGCACCTGCCAACCACCCACTCAGTTCTGGCAATCTGTGAAGCCACTTTTTGTTTCGGTTTCTATAGTAATATCGCATCATCACGCACAGTAAAGGTGTAAAAAATGTTAATGACTTCCTTTTTGCGGGTATGATTCCACGGAGAAATTATGCTTGGGGTAAATTCGGCACAGGGGCGGGGGTGGGGGGGGTACCAAAATTATAGTGCTATTGAGTGCGCTGTGGGGTTGTTTGCTTTTTTGGGCGGGTGGAGTTTTTCTTACGTTTTTAAAGAATGTGTTCGGTCTTTCATTTATTGCTGGGTTCTTTTTCGCGGACTTGTTAACTTCCAGCAGATGTGCTAGTCAGCTGTTCAGAGAAAACGGAAGGGAATGAAAGACCACATTTCGAGAAATGGGAAGTTGAACAGAGGGTGGAAATGAAAACAGGATTTTTTTCGATTTTTTTTTTTTGGCGCTTTTCACACTTAGTAACGCCAATAAGCGAATTATGTTGTATGAAATTGTTCGTTCGCTTTAAAAGAAACGTTATTGTTTCTTCTTCCTTCTTTCACACCAACCGACGTTGTTTATTCACAAAGTCGTTCCATTATGAAATTTTCAGTTTTTCAATAATAGTGAGCCATTTTGTCACCAAAACAACTTTATCGAAAAAATGGGGGG